TCTTCTTCTTCTTCTTCTTCTTCTTCTTCTTCTTCTTCTTCTTCTTCTTCTTCTTCGTCTTCTTCTTCTTCTTCTTCTTCTTCTTCTTCTTCTTCTTCTTCTTCTTCTTCTTCTTCTTCTTCCTCTTCTTCTTCTTCTTCTTCTTCTTCTTCTTCTTCTTCTTCGTCTTCTTCCTCTTCCCCTTTTCTTTTTTTTCTTTTTCCTCTTCGTTTTCTTCCTACTCCTCTTCCCCCTCTTCTTCTCCCCCCCCTCCTTCTTCTCCTTCTCCTCCCCTCCTCCTTCTTCGTCTTCGTCTTCGTCTTCTTCTTCTTCTTCTTCTTCTTCTTCTTCTTCTTCTTTCTTCTTTCTTTTCTTCTGATTCTTCTTCCTCTTTTATTTCTATTTCTTCTTCCTCTTCTTCTTCTTTTTCTTATTTTTTTTTCTTATTCTCCCCCTTTCTCCTCTTCTTTTTCATAATCTTCTTCCTTTTCTTCTTCTTCTTTTTTTTTCTTCTGTTTTCTTCTTTTTCTTCTTCTTCATTTTCTTTCTCTTCTTTTTCTTCTTCCTCTTCATGTTTTTCCTACTCATCTTCCTCATCCTCCTCCTCCTCTTCTTCTTCTTTTTCTTCTTCTTCTTCTTCTTCTTCTTCTTCTAATTCTAATTCTAATTCTTCGCCTTTACCGGCTAAAAATTCCCGGGGAAAGTTCTGGTTGTTTGTCCACCTTTGGACTTTAGTCTTGTTTCAGAACCTGAGTTTTGGGTGTAATATCTGTTTAACAGATCTAATGTATTTGTATGCAGACTGCTGGTTTCTTCCTCTCAGACAGATGAACTCCGACTTCGAAGGATGCGCCCAATTAGTCGACTCTTACGACATGCTTGTTGGTGTCTGTTCTTGTTTTCCCACAATAGGGCCCCAGAAACCACACGGGGAACTTGCATATATTGTATTCAATTTTTTAAAACGATCACAGTAAACTTCAACATAAGAGAAGTAATGTACAGACAGACGTGTATGGTAATACTACAAAATATGTTGTTTTAAACAGAAAATCTGTCATTTCCTCATAAAAGTAAACTATCCACAGTTTTAATGATGTCTGTCTGTCGGTCGGTCGGTCTGTCTGTCTGTTTGTCAATACTAACGCATTTTTTTAGACGATTAACGGATAACAGAAAGTGAAGATTAAACGTATGGCAGTTAATCGAAGTTTTACTGTATATATATATATATATATATATATATATATATATATATATATATATATATATATATATATATATATATGTGTGTGTGTGTGTGTGTGTGTGTGTGTGTGTGTGTGTTTCCCTCGAAGTTGGAGTACATCTGCCGGTGAGGCAGGAAACGAGAAATGCAAACAAATAAGCCAGTAAAACGGATGTACACGTAAAACTCAGGTCGAGGTAAAAGACTGGTCCAAAGTGGACGAACAACCGGAACTTTCCGCCGGAGTTTACAGCCGGTGAACCAGAAGAAGAATAAATATATATGTATATATATAAATATATGTGTGTGTGTTTGTATGTATATATATATATATATATATTTGTGTGTGTGGGTGAGTGGGGGGGGGGGGGTGGCATATACGCATGTGTATGTTTACAAACACAAACACATACACACACGCACACTACAGAGTAAGATAGAAAAGGGGGAGGGGGGAGGGGGTAGTATGTAAATACAAGTTTCTCTTCGTTGCTATGAAACACACTCACATACACCAGTTCCTCTCACACATTCGCTCATTAAGAATGAGATAGGGTTCCCTCTGTGTGCCCCTGAACACACTCAAACATCACACACACACACACACATACGCCCGCGCACAAAGATCGTTATTCTCTGAGACGTAATCACACACTAAAGAATATGTGTGAGTGAGTGTGTGTGTGAGTGTGTGTGAAAGAGGGGGGGGGAGATGTGGGGGAGGGGGATAAGGATATAATACTTTCTCCTCTGTGCGTTCCTTAAGACACACATATATACACACAAATCTGTTCAGTTTAACCACACCTACACATTCATATATATATATATATATATACACATATATACACACACACACACAAACACACACACATGCACACACTACGATTATATCAACACTGCCTACTAAATAAATATCCACAACAGAGGAGAGGCGCATAAAATAAAACAAAAATGGCATTTAAAACACTATCATCTAGACAAAATCAAACAAAAAGAGGTTAACTTACCGCGAGAGATGGCAAAGCGATGCAAACCCAACACTATAAACACAATTTAAACGCAATTTGCACCGAGAGAAGCCTTGCAACACCTTAAAGTCACGTTTAATCAGATCCCAACACAAAACATCTCACGTCGTGTGCACCATTCCCTTCAGACAGGCAGGATTGGAACTCGCGACGCGAAGGCGCACAGTCACACTGAAGTTGGGTGGGTAGCAGCCAAGTTTTAATCCACCTATCAAGCCTGTTCAAACGACAACTTTAACCTACACTGGTCTGAGCCCCGCGTTTATATAAATCGACGGATTGTGCCCGGGGCTGACGGTGTCCAATTTACTCTAACGGCTTGGTCCCTCGGGCGAAAGGCTAGGCTGCCGGCTTCAACGGTAAATTACTGACAGGGTTTCAGACAGAAAAGAACTTCAGGGCAGGTTGGAGTCGGAGAAGGGAACGAGGGGAAGAGAAAGATCAATGTTAGTGAAAAAGGTTTGATTCCCGCGGGAGAATCAGTGTGCGAAAAAAAAAATGTGGTTGTCTCACGTGTGTTTGCCGCACTGTGCTTCTCTAAGACTATCGGCTTGAAGGGTAATTTTCTCACCTTACCTTCTTTTGTTATTTGTTCAGTGACGACAGTGAAGAGGGCCAGCGTTGTCTCGAGGCATGGTGACCGCCTCGAGTGCTAGAGGTTCCGGGTTCAATTCCCGATAAGATCTGGAATTTTTTCACGTAGACTTGGACTTCTGGTAATTCCGCCTGGTCTCCAGGAAGTGATATCGGACGCCTGTGTGCGTTGTTGCGCACGTAAAAAAATCCATTGGCAGTTGGAAATCGTAAAAAGTAGCCTAACGGCGCTGCCCGAGCAAAATTTCGAGTTAAAAATCTACCCAAAGTATTTCAGGATCCTCGCCGGTGCTACAGAACCTGTGTACTGTGCTGAGCATCTTCAGACTCAGACTTGAGTTAGAAGAAGAACGAAACACTTATGGGTGTGCCATGATGTTGATCCGTTGTTCAAACCTCAAAATCCAGACTTAAAGACAGTGAACTCAATATAAAAGGCAAGAGTCATAGAGACTATGTCAAGGGTTTGCAAACAGCTCATGGTGAAAGGGATAGTAATGTATTAACTAGCACACACACACACGTGCAGAAGATAAAAATAGAGATACAAGCACCAGCTGGAAAAAATGGGTGAAGAGTTTTAAAATATATATATATATATATATATATATATATATATATATATATATATATACAACACCATTAATTATCTTTTTAATAATCCAGAATCATGAGCTGTTAACCCTTTGGCTCAGTATTATGGATGTCGCAACCCGTCGGCC